TATGTTTTCTGTGCCTATGTAGTTCTTGATCTTGAAATTAAACCAGTCTGTTAGTTTTCCAACTTAATTGTGAATGTTAGACTGTACATGTGTGATATAACGATGCATTATTTGCATACAGGTTTAAGGAAAATACATTTTTCAAAATCAGTTGGTGTTCACTAAGTCTCCTCAGCTATAACCCTGGAAGAAAGGATGGATGGTGTCCCTAGCCTTAAATATCAGTTAATTTGGGGTTGCTTTCTGCTAGGAACATTCAGATGACTGTGTGCCTTCTAGCTCCATAGGAAGACTCCCATTCTGTTAATGAAAGGTTAGGCTTTTAACCATAGGGAGGATTGTCAACTGACGTCAATGGCATATGTGTTCACGTGAAATACTTGACTGATTTTGAGGTTTAAGTGGCAAGCATCTTCATAGATTACTCTGTTTTCTTGTGCAGCTGGAAACAAGTAGAAATTTAATTCAATTAATGAATAAAAATGTTCTATGAACCTAACAGCAATAGGTAGACTAAACATCTTGCATGTCTTCTCTGTGCATCTAGTCATGTAGTCACTGGCAGTCCAGTAGTCCTGTCATGTAATCACATTTATTTCACATTCTAGTTAACACATTCTTGCTAAGTTTGCAATTTGGAGATTGGGGGGAAAAGTATTTTTTGTTTTCTTTAGCTCTGAAGAGCTAATGTGTTAATGTTTCATGGCTTTTCACAGAGAACAGTGAGTAAGGTCTTAGATTTGCATTTTGAAGTTTTTGATTTGTTGAGGAGCAAAGTGTGTTTGGTAGGAGACAGTTAACTACTCCAGTGATCAGTTGTGCTTGCTGTAGTATTTTTGGCATTCCTGGTATTGCTTTCTGCTCTCCTCTACCACTGAGACTCTGAGGTAATTGAGATTAACCAACCAATAGTGTTGGTTAATGCTTACTGGCTGCTCTGTGTCCCTAATCTCCCGGCCTTTATGCCATATATGAATTCACACCTATCCAACTCTTATTTTGCATTAGTCTCTGTGACTAGAATGTTACTATAATAGAAGTTTCTTTGCCATTATACTCTTGAGTAATTGTCTCAACTCTGTTCTCCTTATGGTTAGAAGACTTATTGATGAGGTCTTGTATGAAGACATTTGGCCACCTTGTTATCTGATCTATTAATTATTCTGTATTCCATGATCCCTTTTCCTGTGGTTTTTGTTTATTTGCTATTTTTGGTGGGGTTTTTTTGTTTTGTTTTGTTTTGGTTTTTTTTAAGAATTGTAATCTCTCTGGAGAAGGAACCCTTATTTATAATTCATTTGTACAATGTGTAACACAGTGGGGCCCAACCTTTTGCTTTTAGTCTCTCTTGCAAGCTTGCAATATGAAAAATTTGTGCATGTTAAAACAAACAATATTGAAAGTGCACCCAAGAATGGCATTTGCAATGCATATCCTGAAGTTAAGAAAACCCCTTAATTACAGGGTCAGTCATTTTTCATTTTTATAAAAAGAGACTGCTCCTAAGCAGAGATCAGAGTTATTTGAGAAGTCTGTTTTATTTTCTGGTTCAGAACCAACCAGCTACAATCTCAAGGATCTAAACCAAGAACACATAATACAAAAGAGATACTTGCTGACAGTGTGTGGCAAATGAAGAAAAAGTATTTTAAAATTTCCAAAGTTAATCTGTAGAGACTTGAAACATTCCAGTTGCCTTCATGGGTAGCTCGTCCAGAGCAGATGAAAATGTTTACAGGCTTCATAATAGGTGACTTCCCTGTGAACTGGACATAGATACGTTGTTTTTCATTCTGCCACTGTTATTCTTGTGCCATGCTTCGGGAGGATAAACACTTTGTGTAGCTGGAAATTAATTTTAAATGAAAGACAGTGGCATCCATTAAACAAAAACCCCAAACTGCAAGTATTCCTTTTGGAGTATTTGGTAGGTTTGTTGTGTTTTGGTTTGTGGGTTTTTTTGTGGTTTGTTTTGTTTTTTTTTTTTTTTTTTNTTTTTAATGAAAGGGTAATGAGGCATGACAGCAATGATTTATGTTTTCTGTGCCTATGTAGTTCTTGATCTTGAAATTAAACCAGTCTGTTAGTTTTCCAACTTAATTGTGAATGTTAGACTGTACATGTGTGATATAACGATGCATTATTTGCATACAGGTTTAAGGAAAATACATTTTTCAAAATCAGTTGGTGTTCACTAAGTCTCCTCAGCTATAACCCTGGAAGAAAGGATGGATGGTGTCCCTAGCATTAAATATCAGTTAATTTGGGGTTGCTTTCTACTAGGAACATTCAGATGACTGTGTGCCTTCTAGCTCCATAGGAAGACTCCCATTCTGTTAATGAAAGGTTAGGCTTTTAACCATAGGGAGGATTGTCAACTGACGTCAATGGCATATGTGTTCACGTGAAATACTTGACTGATTTTGAGGTTTAAGTGGCAAGCATCTTCATAGATTACTCTGTTTTCTTGTGCAGCTGGAAACAAATAGAAATTTAATTCAATTAGTGAATAAAAATGTTCTATGAACCTAACAGCAATAGGTAGACTAAACATCTTGCATGTCTTTTCTGTACATCTAGTCATGTAGTCACTGGCAGTCCAGTAGTCCTGTCATGTAATCACATTTATTTTACATTCTAGTTAACACATTCTTACTAAGTTTGCAATTTAGAGATTGGGTGGAAAAGTATTTTTTGTTTTCTTTAGCTCTGAAGAGCTAATGTGTTAATGTTTCATGGCTTTTCACAGAGAGCAGTGAGTAAGGTCTTAAATTTGCATTTTGAAGTTTTTGATTTGTTGAGGAGCAAAGTGTATTTGGTAGGAGACAGTTAACTACTCCAGTGATCAGTTGTGCTTGCTGTAGTATTTTTGGCATTCCTGGTATTGCTTTCTGCTCTCCTCTACCACTAAGACTCTGAGGTAATTGAGATTAACCAACCAATAGTGTTGGTTAATGCTTACTGGCTGCTCTGTATCCCTAATCTCCCGGCCTTTATGCCATATATGAATTCACACCTATCCAACTCTTATTTTGCATTAGTCTCTGTGACTAGAATGTTACTATAATAGAAGTTTCTTTGCCATTATACTCTTGAGTAATTGTCTCTACTCTGTTCTCCTTATGGTTAGAAGACTTATTGATGAGGTCTTGTATGAAGACATTTGGCCACCTCGTTATCTGATCTAATAATTATTCTGTATTCCATGATCCCTTTTCCTGTGATTTTTGTTTATTTGCTATTTTTGGTGGGGTTTTTTTGTTTTGGTTTGGTTTTTTTTAAGAATTGTAATCTCTCTGGAGAAGGAACCCTTATTTATAATTCATTTGTACAATGTGTAACACAGTGGGGCCCAACCTTTTGCTTTTAGTCTCTCTTGCAAGCTTGCAATATGAAAAATTTGTGCATGTTAAAACAAACAATATTGAAAATGCACCCAAGAATGGCATTTGCAATGCATATCCTGAAGTTAAGAAAACCCCTTAATTACAGGGTCAGTCATTTTTCATTTTTATAAAAAGAGACTGCTCCTAAGCAGAGATCAGAGTTATTTGAGAAGTCTGTTTTATTTTCTGGTTCAGAACCAACCAGCTACAATCTCAAGGATCTAAACCAAGAACACATAACACAAAAGAGATACTTGCTGACAGTGTGTGGCAAATGAAGAAAAAGTATTTTAAAATTTTCAAAGTTAATCTGTAGAGACTTGAAACATTCGAGTTGCCTTCATAGGTAGCTAGTCCAGAGCGGATGAAAATGTTTACAGGCTTCATAATAGGTGACTTCCCTGTGAACTGGGCATAGATACGTTGTTTTTCATTCTGCCACTGTTATTCTTGTGCCATGCTTCAGGACGATAAACACTTTGAGTAGCTGGAAATTAATTTTAAATGAAAGATAGTGGCATCCATTAAACAAAAACCCCAAACTGCAAGTATTCCTTTTGGAGTATTTGGTAGGTTTGTTGTGTTTTGTTTTGTTGTTGTTGGTTTTTTTTTTTTTTTAAGTTTTATGATGGTCTTTCCTTTTTAAGTTTCTTACTTTAGTAGTAACATAAATTAAAATACTTTCTAGATTTTATTTGTTGTCATTCTGGTCAAAACTCTGCCCATACTTCTTAATACCTTTCTTAAATTTTCTTTGGAATTTATAGTGCATATACAGGTGGTTTTTTTAAAGAAAAGTTCATAAGCACTGATTTTTTTATTTTTAGCCCAGAATGCTGCTTCACGAATACATTTCTCTGCAGAGACCAATACAGGAACTTTGTGTTATAAACACTGAAACTGAAAGATAACTATATTTGAGAAATATATCTGTACAATTTTGTGCATGTTGTTTACTCAGTCCAGAAATATTTAGGGAATTAGTACTACCCACCAACTAAACAAGGTAGCTGTGAGTATTCCTATTTTCTGGGGGACTCCAAGTGCTATGTTTCCAGTTTAATCCAGGACTGATTCTGTGCACTTCATCTTCAGGAAATTTACTCCTGTATTCAGGGAGTGATGGTCACATTAATGACATTCACATCACATTTTGTCTGCATCCCTTGTTCTTCCTTTTTCTCTAGCAGTTGGGATGCTCTTCAAGAGTGTTTTGCTCTGTTTTCTAAAAACTTGTCCTATCACCTGTTTTTTTGTGAAAAATTTTTTTTTCTGTTTTATTGAATGTATGCATAAATAATAACTTTTCTAGAAATGTCTGGGTGGGTAGATCTATCGTATTATTGTGCCCACATGGTATTTCAAAACAGACACCACAACTAGGGAAGAGGCAGTTGGAGCTTTTTTCTGTTAGACACTAGAGAATTTATTGCTTTTTTAAAAATTTATGCTTTCCCATTTTTGGGATTTTTGATTTCAGTAACATTTTACGCATTAAAAAATAAATTCGTTTGTAACAACCTGGAGTTCAGTCATGTAGAGTCAACTTCAGATGTTTTGTTTGAGTTAACTGCACGTATCACTGTAATATATGAAGGCATGAAAAAATTCTGTTGGATAGATAAATATTTCAAGTTAAGGGAAGGTGAAAACCCAGCATCTTTAGAGTACCATAACACGGAGTTGCCTTTCTGAGAATAGTAATATCATGAGTCAGGCTCTCTGCAGAAATCTCTATTTGAATGATGCAGTAGTAATCTGGTAGGGATTCAGGTGAATAAGGAAAATGGAGATGTTCTTATCTGATACCCTTATTCTATAATTTTTCCTAATTAAGTTGGTGATAAATAATAGTGAATGTTGAATGATCAGAAGTATGTATAAGAGGGGTTTTAACATTGTGTTTAAATGAAAACTCCTCGAGAAGGATTTAGAAGCTTTTATCCCCCCTATTCTGTGTTGTATTTGTGGAGAGTTTTGAAGTGCACAGCGTTGCTGGTTGTTAGCTGTGTGATGTAATTTCAGCATGCAAGCGTTATGATTTGGTCATGGAAAATCAAAGTATCCGTGTGGTCATAGCCAGTCTGTAAAGAGTTAATTTCAAGGTGAACTCTACCATTCTGGAGCTACAGGACAGGGGTTCCCATGTGACCAGCAAGGAGAAATGAGATTTCATAGTAACACCTTCTCAACAGCAATAGTAAGTTGGAATTTTCCTGTGTCCTCGGAAGCGTTTTCTGAAGCAGATAAATCTTGGTAGCAGTGGGATGCCTGCGGGATTTGGCCCCGTGCCCTGTGGCAGCCCCACACCCCCCCGCGCTGGCAGGACGGTAGTTCGTTCCGATGATGCGGGCTCCAGCCCAGCTCATTAACTTCCTTGCAGGAACCGCTGTGCCAGTGGCAGCCGAGGCAGCGGCCGGAGAGCCTGCCATGGGCAACGCGCACAGAAAGTTCCGTAGCAAAGGAGGCGGCGGCAAGGCGGAGGACAGAGAGAAGCAGAAGAAGAAGGAGCCCGCTGAGAGCGGATTAAAAAAAGGCACATCAGAGAAAAAAGCAGAAAAGCAGTTGTCAGACCATGAAGGTGAAATTAATGGCTATGTACACAGCGAGCAGAAGAGTGAAGGCTCTGAATCTGGGAGCTCCAGGTGGCACAGCGCAGGGTCTCAGACGACTGAGACTGGTGGTACCAGTTCTACTTTGCTTCCTCCTACTGCAGCGAAACTAAAAAGCGAAGGAAACGAGTTATTTAAGAGTGGGCAGTTTGGAGAAGCTGTGCTCAAATACTCGGAAGCAATTGAATATGTCATTGGTCTAGGTAAGTGTAATACCTTATACTTAAATCCAGACTGTTTAGACGATTCAGAGGATCTACAGATGAACTAACTTAGTCTGTTGCTGATTTTTGGCAGTAAATTACTGTGCAGTAAATTCTCATTTCAGTAGACAGCAATTCATGTGACAGAAAATATAGGAATAAAAGTAATGTTTTAATTTCCTTGAGGCAGAGCTGTTGGCATTTATTTATGTTTGAATAATTACGTGTTCTAGGTGATATGATAAAGAAAAGCTCCTTAAAGCTTTGCAGTGTCAGCAAACTGCATCACTGCAGTGCAACTTGGAGCATGCAAGTCTTTAATTCTTGAGTGTCATTTTAGTAATGGTCTTTGATTTTAATTGTAACTTCTTTTAGGAGAACAAAGTCCAGATGATTTAAGTATCTTGTACTCAAACAGAGCAGCATGTTACCTCAAAGAAGGGAACTGCAGTGACTGCATTCAGGATTGTAACAGGTAAATTGAAACCTCCCATGTAGAGCAACATTCCTGATGATTAAACATTTAGCTGATATATTACTATTGCAGTTTGACTCAGAACAATATCAATAAAGTCTGATGCCCTTTCTAAATGACAGATATCTTTGTCAGTTATATAAAAAATCACATAGAACTTAGGGAAGGAGTAACTTTTAACTGACTGTCTTGCTGTATAAGGGCAGTTTTTAAGCTTCTTGTGTACATAGAGATGCATAGCAGGATTAAAATTTTTAATGTAAAAGCAGGTTTGCAATGGTGTTTTGCAATAACTTGTATGTAAAAGCTTTGTTAAGGAAGATGCCTGTCACAGAGTTGCAAATTGCTTTCAAGTGTGTATATGGTATATGTGTATGTGTTCTCTGTGTTTGCTTTGTTGTTTTGATTTGGGGTTTTTTAATATATACTTTGTATAGTTATAAACTGTAATTATAGCTGTTCAGGAATTGAACTGAAGTCCTTTCTGCTTATTCTGACTCTTAAGGACACAGGAGTTAGAAAAGATCAGACACCTTCAATAACTTCCAAACATTGCCTTCCACTAAATTAGTAATTGTATTTCTGATATACATTTTTTAAACATTTTCATAGATTGAGTTAGTAATGCTGAGGCTTAAGGTGCAAAAAAAATCCTAAAACAATTAGAAATCATATCAATTAATCAGTTAAGTTAGCAGCACAACCCATCTGCTAAAAGCTTCCAAAACTAGAAATAAAATAAGCATGTACCTTCGTAGTAACAAAATATTTAACTTACTGTATATATTCTACCTGACAAAACAGTTTCTGAAAAAAAAGACTCGTTTGCAATATTTTGTTAAAACATGCAGGACTACAGTCAGCTGGTCGATAAAACAAGAACCATCACATTTTTCTCTCCAGGAGGTTTGAAGTGTGCAAGACTTCAGCTGAAATCAGTAATACAATGGTTTTGGTTTTGTATTCTTACCAATTGGGAGCTTAATGATAGTGTCCTTACTGTCGTGCATATTTTCTGAATGCACAAGGACCTGTGATGCTCAGTGGTAGAAATAATTTAGAGCCTGGGAAGCAGGAATGCAAAACTACATACATATGTAAATTAGACAGTGTCAAACAAGTCTTCTCTAGGCAACACAACATAAAGATTTACAAACAGGTTACTCGATTTCAAGGTAAAAAGTTGTTTAGTGCTGATACTTGTGATATAAAATAAGTATTTAATGTTTATCTTTTATTGAGTTTTAGCTATTTGGGGCTTAGATTTGTATAAAAATCCCTGTGTTGGATCTCTTGTCTCAAGACTGTGGTTTGGTGGTGTTACAGAGAGTGAAATAAGGCTCCCACGTACTGATGTTAGTTTCCTCAGTACTATTTTGTTGTTTGGTCCCTGTATCATCTTTGCACTCTACCCTGAAAATGTAGTTTTCCATTCCCACTATTCTTCAAGTAATGTTGTCTTCCCCTGAATTTAGTTATGGTTGTTTTTCCCTTCATTCTTGATGTTAGAAACTTGAAATTGTGTTAATATTCTTCTGAGTTACAGAATGTCAGGCATTTTTGCAGACATTTTGTGGGGGCTGTGATGTTGTGCACAGTTGTGGCAGCGTGAGAGAAATTGGAACATTTGAAGTATTCATGATGTTGAAATTGGAATTGTATTTCCTAGAAATCATAGTTTCTCTAGCTTTAGGAGGAGTAATGGTGCAAAGCCAATTTACATCAGAGAAGGCCAACAGCCTCCTTACGCTTATAAACAGGAGCACAGCCAGTGGGATTGAGGGAGGTGATTATCCCCTCCTAGTCAGCATCTGTTAGACAACACTATGGTAACTGCTGCTTTTCAGCTTCCTCAGTACAAGAACCACAGTGATCACCTGGAGTTCAGTGAAGTGTCACAGAGGAGGTTGTGGGCTCTGGAGTATTTCCCTGAAGAGGAGAGGCTGGGTTTGTTCAGCTTGGAGGAGAATGGCTTCCAGGGGTTCTAGGAGCAGCCTGCCAGTACCTGTGAGGAGATTATCCACATATGAATCCTGGCTCGTGCTGTCAGTGTTGTGGGAGGACAAGAGGCAAAGACAAAAATAGAACCACACAAGGTTTGGGACTGTGTATTAGGAGAAACCTCCCCATAAACAGTGTGGGGCATTGCAACAGATTGCCTGGAGATGTTGTGCAGAAGTTCCCTTGGAGGTTTTCAAGGCCCAGCTGTATCAAGCCCTGAGCAACCTTTTCTGATCTTGGAGTTGACCATACCTGGGTTGGACCTGGGACATCCCAGCCTGAATTACTTTATGACTCCATGAAATCTAATTGTCTAGACTAATTTTAATTGCAGTATTTCAAAGCTGATCCTTCTTTCTCTTTAGCAAGAGTCATTGATTAAAAAAAAGAAAATAAGTACTTTGTGGACTGCTTCTTCATGTTGCTGGAAAAGCACGTGGTGTTTGTAAGGACTTCTGATGGCAGTGTTGAACTCTGTGTTCACCAGGCAATTAGAAGAGTAAACAGACACAAGACAGGCAAAAACCTAAAAGCCAAAGACAGGTGTATATTCATGTCTTACTGACTATATTTTTTATGTGCATACTTTTCTGTAAGGAGGAAGTATTGAAAGCTATGTACGCGAAAGCACTTGAAACTCTCGTAGATCTAGGCATGTCTTAAGAAAAATGGCTTTTGCTCTTAAACAACTGCCATTGCATTAGCATATCTTGGTGATGAATGCAGTTTTCCACATGGAGTAGAGTAAGCTGTAGTAAAAACTAATCATTTCAAAACTGTAATTTAGGGTATTAATGAATTTAGGGTGAACCACTTAGTCCCATTTTCCTTAGTTGTGTTACTGGAAAGCCCGTCTGCAATCACAAGGTTATGTATAGTTGTGTATATTATAAAATATTTTTATTATTATTATTTCAGTTACTCTGTTTCAATCCTGTATTTCTCTTTTGTTTTCTCCAGAGCTCTGGAGCTTCAACCATTTTCCCTTAAGCCTCTTCTACGACGAGCAATAGCAAATGAGTCAATGGAGCGGTATCGACAGGCATACATTGATTATAAAACAGTCCTACAAATAGACAGCAGCATCCAAGCAGCAAATGATAGTGCTAATAGGTAACTCCACGTACAAATTTTCTGATATCAGTCAAAACGGAAAAGTAGACTTTAAATTTGTTTCTTTCACATGCTCCCTCTGTTCTGTATCCCTCATAGTTGTCATCACAACTAGTGCATTACAGGACTGACTGTTTCATTTAGTTGTTTTCCCATAATTTCAGTTTTCCTCTGCCAGCTGTAGATAACTTTCTGGTTTTTTAAAAATATAATATTTTAAAGTTGGAGGTCTTTTTAGCTAGTGCTTCTACTTGTTTCTTTCCTAAGTTGTATTTTGTGCCATATAAAATTATACTCTAAGGTCCATACGTTTTCTCTGACATTTCTCTTTCCTTTTTGTATTAACAATCTTTCTGTAGCAGTTGAGGATTTATGTTAAGTGTAAATCTTTCAGTGTGCTGCAGTTGTGAAAACTCTGAATTAGCTTGATACTGTGGTTGACTATAAAACTTAGAGGTGTAAGAGACATAATTGAATGTTATCTTTGACTTAAGTATTAATACTTCCAGCATTAATTCTTGCTACCAGAGAGATCTAAATTTCTGTAATTATATTTTCATACTATAAAGTCAGTGTATACACACTATTGTAATTGTGTTCTCATTAACATAGAGTAAGTACTTAAGTGTATGAATTATAGGATTTTAACATTCCCTATTCTTTCCTTTTCAATTTAATGGACAGAAAAAAAAGAATATGTGAAAGCAGAACAGGCATTAATGATTGAGCAGGAACACACAAGCATGAGACTTTCAACAATGGAATCTATTACCTTTTTTTTTTACTCTTGAAGGCAAGGCCTTGAACACTTGCACTATTACCTCATTAAAAAGTCCATAATATCTTTTTTTAAATTCTGCTTATTTGGCCAGAGAAGATCATGACACTTTATCATCTGCTCTTACAATTCCTATTTTTTGATAACACAACAAATAGTTACTAATCTCCTGTATCTATGGTGATAATTGAGCACTTGGATTGGTGAGATAACTGCTTTCCCTGGTATCTATGTAATTATTACACTTCTTAAAAATCTTTTTGACTTATTTTCTCTGCAGATACTCTTTTAATGTTTCTCCTTGACTTGTAACTTGCTTACTAATAAGCTTCTCTCCCTTTTTCCCCTTAACACTCTTCCTTTTCTCCTCTCTAGGCCTTCCTTATGTTTTTAGCTTCACTGCTCATTACTCTTTCCTCCCTGGCAACCCATCACCTTATTTCAGCTGCTTCTTCCTTCTTCTCTTCTGCTGGTAATTCATTTTTGCTTGCCAATTGTTAGTTTCTAAAGCCTAGACCTCCTGCGTAATTGAACTTTTACTATAATATTTCTTTAATATTCCATCATTTATGAATTCAACTGAAACTGTTTACCAAATTATTCATTTTAATTTCCAAAGTAAGAGTCCTTTCTAAAAAAGGAATTTTAATAAAACATTACAGTTACTCTGCTGCCTTTTAACTTAAAGGGACAACCCAGAAATGTAGTGTAATTGGTTTTTTTTAATATTAGGGATAGCAGGTCTTAACAACCTGCTTATATTGAAGGATTTCTTGGTTTTTAAATTCCTCTGGGAAGTTGGATGGTGATGCTGTAGGAAGCTGATAGGAAAAACTCATCATCCTACTTGTGTCTGAGAGTGAGTTTGTTAAACCATGTTAAGGCTTGTCTCTCTGCAGTTAAATATCTAAGCAGACTTTCCAAAAATCTTAGAACCAAATGCATATTTTTAATGCAAAAAAAGTGTAGAATTTTTAGTATCAAGCCTTTACGTGATCATTTTGCAATTAAAAGGAATTAATTTGAGTGTAAGTACAAACAAGTATAAACAATTATTTGTTTATCTTGTTTATTAGATGATGTTGAATTGTGCCTTTTATTGGTTCCTGATGTGATTTTTTAGATAAATTGGAAGGACTGATTCTTTTAATGGTATGTGCCAAGTAACTGGAAATTGCATTTCAAGCATGCTTTTAGTTAGTGGCATTTTCCTAGCTTTGTGAACATCAATGGATTTGCTACTTTGTGTATTTTATACAATACAATGTGAGTATTTTATTGTTTGCTTTTCACCGTTAGAAATACGGAAACTCTAATGCATAGGAATATATTTATGCATTTCCTCTTACTAAATGGAAGTTTCAATCCACTTGTCTCAACTCCTTTAATATCAGTGAGGAAACTGCATGAGATAGCTGTATTCAGGTAGTATGTTTTTTACACCTGTATTAGATGGAAATGCACTTGACATAAAAAATTTTAGGTTTATTTGCCATAGTATCAATGTGACTTGCTTTGCTACTCAATTCAGAATTTTCCTCTGTTAAAGGGTGTATTAGACTTACGACCAGTTGAACTTGACTCTTAGGCTTATGTTGAGATTAGATGATGTTTACCTCACTATTATTCTCGTAACTGATTAATATTTGTTGGTTTTTGTTTTTTCGTTTGTTTTTTTAATTATAAAATTTCTAATGGAACCACGAAGTCTCAGGTGGCTTCACTTACTGTGTCTCCAAAACGTAGCACTGCAGTGGGAAGCTCCCATTTGAATGGAATTTGGATTGAGCCTCTCATGGACTGAAATAGTTGACCTATGTATGTGTGTTGGTTTAAGAAAGACTGAACAGTTTTTATATACAATGAGCATATTTTTAAATGGGGATAAGGAGTGATCAGTTAACAAATTTCTGACTGTAAAAGCTCTAAAATGCCACTTAACGCCGCCTACATTGTGACCTGCATTGGTTATTTAGGCAGTTGTTGTGTAACAGGTTTCATTTGACATTTGCAATATTAGGTACCACACTTTGTCTGAGGATACTGTAATCTACACTTGTGATAAATAACACCTATGAACAGCTGAGAAGAACAAACAAAATTAATACATCAATTTTTTTCATATTTCTTTACCAGATGTGGTAGGAACCATTTAGGGCTTAGTTGCAGAATCAGTCATTGGCTCAAATATTAACAGGCCATGCTGAAGTCAACTTGTCTTCTAAATGCCAGCATAAATACTCTAAAAAGTAGAAAAAGTCTAAACCTTAAATGAGTGCAATACCATTGCCTGCTGTCGAAATATTTTTTTAAATTAGTCTGAAGAATAATTGTTGAGTGATTAGAACATTGAATTATTTGATTTGGGTGTTAGTTATTGAAGTGTGAGTTAAATATATAAAAACTCATGTTGGTGGGGCTGTTCTCTTTCAGAATAACGAAGACTTTAATAGATCAGGATGGTCCCAATTGGAGGGAGAAGCTGCCACCAATTCCAGTTGTCCCAGTTGCTGCTCAGCTGCACAGGTGGGATGGAGGAAACTTCACTTCAGAGAATAAGCCTGGAAGTACTGTAGACATCAACAGAGAAGAACAATTGGAAGTGAATTGTATGTATAGCTAATGCAAATATATATACACCAAAAAAAAAAGAAAATAATTTTAATTGAAATGTGGAATATGTTTTAGTAATGTCAAAGAAACTGCTTTAGAAAATACTTTTCAGAGACCTTTATGAAAAACTGAAGTAAATGACTGTCATTTACACGATTGAGTTTAATGTGCTTTGTGGAGCACAGGTATGATAATTTTTTTAAACCACATGATGCACTTTGCAGCATGTAATTTCTGAAATTATATAAAACCAGCAGAAATACTCATCAGCAGTATAGTGAGTCATATAATGAGCATCAGGGATAGTTATATACCTGACATCATAGTATAGTTATAAAAGAGTTTCCCCCCAAAAAACACAACCCAAACAAACATCCAACTTTGATACAAGATGTTTAGGAGTCATCTTTCAAAGATGTTGGTTCTGCAGTTGTCTATACATAATCACTGAGAGCTAAGCTTTAGGAAATGAACTTCCTTCCTGATTTTTTTTCTCTTAGTTGCAGTTTCTGTTTTTCTTCTTCAATAAATCAGATGAAGGAACCTTTCTGGTTCATATTTTATTGACATTAAACATTTCTCTTGCAAAACCATAACTCTATGATATTTTTACTGAAGTATTAATTGGTTCCCCTTTGAGTTTATTTCAATATAAACAAAAGTAGTGCTGAAGATACTCTTTCCTCCATGAACACAGAGGTGGCTGCAGAGCATAACTGGGTTATTGGCCAAATGGGTAGCAGTGATGGAGGTTATCTGTCCATAATGCATTGCTGCCATACTGAATGTCTTAATGTATTTCAAATAGAGCAGGCTTTGGGTAGGCTTTGATTTTAAAATATTACATGAAAACTGTGTAACTATTTTCTTCACTGAAGGATGGCTGACTCTAAGGTTCTGGTTGCCTTCTCAGGGCTCTGCTTCATGTGAGACCTGACAATGGTAGCTGGTGCTGAAAACCTTCAACAGTGTTCAGTCAGCAGTTAAACCTTACTGTTGGCTGACACTTTTTTGTAACAGTTGGGTCTTGTTTTGTGTGTTCTGCAATTTGAGTTATAATTTAGTGGTGTGTTTCATGTAGTTAATTTTCCCCTAAGTTCAGGTTTTCTGGCATAGGAGACTGCCATGTTTTTATGAAAGAACTCAGTGAGTTTAATTATTGGTTAAAACTGACAGGTTTTATACAGTGTTGAAAATCTGAAGCTTGGCAAGGGGCTTATACTCTTTAGCAAGGTGCAAAAAGCAGATTATGATTTACTTAGAGCTATGTTGGTACTTACTGTTTGCTCACAACAGAGACATGAAGCCCAGTCAGGATCTGTTTTTTACCACAAACACAGCTGAAAATCACAGTCTAACCCAAAAGCATATGAAACAATGATGTGGAGTTAAGAATGAAAGGCAATTATGGAAGTATCCCCATCTCCACCTAATGCAATGATTAGTTTGTCATTATCAGCATAGTAATTGTGATAGTTACTTGCAGGAGGAATATCAGATTAAATAGTGGCCACCCTGGTATGATGGTAGAGACCTAGAAGGCTTTTAATCCTGATGATTAAATCTCCACCATTGTAAGTAAAACTAACATCTCAGTGGAGATAGCTAGGCCGTCTTTACCACACAGAGAGGGTAGGTAGGAGGAGGTGGAAGCTCAGAGCTGTCTGTTGCATTCCCATTATTTTCACCCTGGTGCATGGGGAAGTATGTGTTGGGCCAAATGTAGATGTGGTAGTTTATCCCTTTCTTAGAGCAGCATGGAGATAGGGGACAGAAATGGCAAGGTGCAGACCGATAATGACACTCCAGTTGTCAGGCTTTTATTCTTAGTCTGCATAGATTATTCAGCTACCCTTAATGAACTGACCTTCTTATGTAACACTGTGATCTCTTTGTGATGTAGGTGAGGAGGCTATGGAGAAGTTCAAGAGACTGAAAAATGAAGGGAATGATTGTGTAAAAATGGGGGAATATGACGAAGCTATAAATAAATACAGCGAATGCATGAAGTTAAATGCTGAGGAATGTACGGTCTACACTAACAGGTAAAGATCCAAAATCTAAGTCTGCTCTGTGGGATATATTTTCTCACTGCAAATAGAGACTTTACATCCCATCAGTAACTGTTGTGAAAATGGAATTTTTTCCCCACTTGGTTACTATTTCTAATAACAAAGCTGATTTTTTGTTAAACCACATTATTTTCCAAGGGGAGCAAGTATTAATGTCAGTGATATATATCTTAAAATCTTTTATCTAAATAGAGTAAGCAATACTAAAAGTTATAATTAGCATAGTGCAACATTTTTTGAGAATAGTGGCATGATTTGAATTAAAAACTTAACATGCAACAGTAGTACCTCAAATAGGAAGAGTAATAATTCAGAGAAAATGTACATTCTGAGAAAATAAAAGTAGGAACACAGTCATACATCAGCATTATTTTAAGGGTTGACCTAATTCTGTAGTATAATTCTTTATGCTGTAATCTTATCAGCTTTCACAAACTAAGAAGGATTTGATTAGATCAGTAGTTGAATAGGAGACTTCCAAGTAATAATTAGGTACAGAAAGCAGTATTGTTTATTTGGTCTAGAGCACTTTTTTACCCAGAATGGCTGTGTAAAATCCGTATTACCACTATACTATTATTATATTACTGTTTATTGTATTTTATTTATCATATTACATTAACCACTATACTGTAATATTATCCTAACATAGCCTCTGCTTTTAAAATACTTGCATATCTGCCTAACTTTGAGCATTAGTCATACTTATTTTGGCTTTTATTGCAGGAATTGGCCCTCTCTAAATCCATCCAGTGATGTTCTTCACACTTAATGATTTTGATGTACTTTAAAAAAATACCACTGAGACTGAATTATGTGAAATAATGTAATTAACATGTACGAGTCAGATACTGTTAGCACTACAGCACTGTAGAATTTACTTATATTGCAGTGTATTCTGTTTTTCTGTGTTAGAGCTCTCTGTTACTTGAAACTGTATAAATATGAAGAGGCTAAGCAGGATTGTGATCATGTTCTTCAGATAGAAGATTCTAATATTAAAGCTTTTTATAGAAGAGCACTAGCGTACAAAGGATTACAGGTGAGGAAAAAGAACATGGCAGGTATTCTTAAGCACCTCTAAACTTGCTTATCCTCTTCAAAGGCAATGAGGTAGTTGCAGCTGCTGGGTGAAAGCAGACAAAACACAGTGTGATGATCTATTACATTGTAGAGCACTATACATACATAAAACATTATATAAATATTTTTACAACAGAAAAACCTGCATGTTGACATGTAATGATTTGAGAAAACACAGAAATATTGGAATAATGAGGTTTGACTGGAGATCGTTTAAACAATTTTCAAATCTCTTCTAATATCCTAGTATCCTGAGTATCCCAGGATACTAGGGATTTTTTATCTGTCAAAGTGTTTACTATAACTTTGCTGATGACAAATGGATTCTCTCCAAGTCTGTCTTCATCTGTCCAAACGAAAATTGCAAGCTGTCTTTGGGTATCTGTTCATGTTTAAGTGCCTGTCATATTAAACCAGGGGTTTGATTGTCTTTGTTTTCTCTCTATTCTTTCCCCAAAGACATTATGAACCTTTGTCTGTAATGTACTTAGTGGAAGTGTTGATATTCAGCCTTTTCCTTTCCATTTGCACAGTGGTGGTGGTGTCTGTACAGTGCTTATCTTAACACAAAGTACTTAGAGTATTCTTTCACCTGAGCATCATAAATGCAGACTTAGATTGCTCATATCCATCTTGAATGTGACTGCAACTCTTACGTTCCATCACTTGAACTGCACTGCTCCTTTTGTCCATCCCTCTGGTTCTCCTTCTTCAGTGATGTTAAATTAGCCCCTACACTTCATGATTCTTTCACAACAATCCTTGCTCTACTTGTCAGCTCTTACCTGGTATTGAATTATCAGCTTCTCACTTCTGTTGGCTCTCGATGGCAGCTCTTGTCATCTACTTTGTATTAAAAGTTACAAGTGTCTTTAAACAAGCATCTCAAGTGCTTTCTTCGGTGTTGCTCTTTGTAACTGGATGTCTGCCAGCTTTCATCATTGTCCTTCAAATGAAGGACTTACCTCAGACCTCCATTGTATTTGATGCCTTAACAAAGAATGTCCCTGTTGTCTCTCAGCTCTCAGATAACCTGAGGACAACCTGTTAGTGCTTAGCACCAGCCTATTCCCATCCCATGCTGTCATTCCAAATGCAAGTCATAGGAACCAGGGGATCTTTTGTCCTCTGTTAGAGTAGATATGAAACTTGGAAAGTTTGATTAGTTTTCAAAAAAAGGGGAAAAGCCTTAATTTTGTGTAATTTTTTTTTCTGTAACTGTGCCAAGTTACCTTGTATTAATTACCTGTTACCATTACCTGGTATTAATCACCTCTAACTTTGTTGTTGAACTTGGTAAAAATCAGTGCAAATATGAGTATGTAGTGATTCTACCAGTCCAAAAAAAAAGGGAATTACACACTTGTGAGGAATGTCAAGAATTGGAGAAATAATTTCTGCTTTTTTGAATATTCTAGGAAAAACTGTTATTTTTGTATTATTGAAGACAACTTGAAACACAGTGTTCATGGATTCCTTCAGAACAATCTGAGCTGGGGACTCCCAAAAAGTTTTGTTGTGGTTGGATTAAGTGCTTCATTATTGCTAATTCCAGGGATGTGAGTGATTTACAAAACCAGAGAAAGCAACAAAAGTGATTTGAAGTTTACAAATGACTCTCTAATGAAGAATTTTAAGAGCTAAAAGCATGTAGCTTGGCAAAAACCTAACTAATCTGGGAAGTGTTATTTGTATATAAATATCCAGATATTTAACCACAAAAACTGCAGTGGAATTTAATGTAGTAAATGAGGGTTTTTTAATAGATTTACCAAGATGCAATTAAGGGAAGATAAGGAAGGTATCATGCTCCTTTGATGAATTAGGCCTGTGACATAGGACACAGGACCCCAGATGACATCTCCTTTAGGTGGTAGTCCAGTCTGGGTACTGCCATCTTATATGGTTTTTGCTGAGGGGTCTGGCAGGCTGCAGTTTTAAATCCAGGAGGGTTGGTTGTCCCCTGACCCTTGTTACTGTTTTTGTTTCTCTGTAGATGTGAATCTTCCCGTCTGTAATTCAGATGGCTTAGCTTAATTAGTAGCGGATTTCTGATCTGCAACCTGCCCCTTTCTGCATTCATTTGCTAAGGCTGTGGAATCCTCATTCTCTTGCTCTTCCTTCACGATCTAAGAGGCTTCAGCTCACCTGCAGACTTAGTACAGCGTCTCTGCACCTTGAATGCTGGTCAGCATTACTGAACAAAATACTCTGTGTGAGAAGGAATGAGAGTGACGGGTACAGGAGTGCTTTCTTTACACTTGAGATGTTGAGGAAATACTTTAGCTGTACATGAGGATTTTTTCCGTGACAATATAAATGACTTAACAGTAACCTTTTGATACTGTTTGGGAACAAAGAAATAGTAGGTCCCTCACACAAGAAACTATGTTGGTCTTTTACAGTCTGCATGGTCTTTTCCTGTTTACTGCTACATTTCACCCATATTGTTGATACTCCAGCTCTTGAGGTGTCTTGATATTTTTCTGTGATATTCCAGTCTTCCTCAGAACTCATGCTATTAACTTTGTCTCTCCAGAAAATTTAGTCTAAGAAAATAGTAATTTCTAACTTAAAAATTTGAAATAAAAGCAGTAAACAAATATGAGACTGATTATTGAGAAACTGTGTCCTAATGCCACTCTGTCACTGTGTTTGTCCTAATCCTTTTTATCTCAGAGTTCATAATATAATCCCAATCTTTTCAAATGTTACCAAAAATTTCACTGTAAGAGATGGTCTATTGGATTGAAGACCAGGAAGATTAGGTATATTTTTAATCAAAGCTCAATTTAACTCTCTTTTATTGGCAAAGCAAGTATGCAAACTTGCTGGACTCACATTAGTCTTGAAGCAGTGTTACAGTGTAAGCAATTAAGCTTAAAAACATCAGTCTTCAATAATTTGTCCTTTGATACAGGGAAAATAAATTATTTCATATTACATATTTTTTGGGGAGTATTTAGTCACAAAATATTAACTCAAACTCAGTTTCCTTTTTTTTTCCTCTAGTGAAATTACACTGTCTGTATTTAGATTTTTTTTGTCTACTGTATGTCCAGATTCTAGGATTTTTACTTTTCTTATTTGTAGAGGACAATATGGTAGTTCAAACTTATTTTTCTAGTGATGATTTTCTCTTCTACTTACAGAATTATCAAGCCAGTGTTGATGATTTCAACAAGGTACTTCTAATAGATCCAAATGTTCTTGAAGCACAGAAGGAGCTAGAGGAGGTGACCCAGCTGCTTCACCTGGACAGCAGTGCTGGAGCTGACAGTGAGCAAAGGCAAAGGAAGAAAGTAACCATACAAGAGGTAAGAACACCATTTTTAAAAGCAAACAGCCCAGAAGCCACACAATCAAAGAGATAATATTAAAACTTTTGTTTTGCCCATATTACCTCTAGATTTTTTGGGAACAGAGTTGTATTTTTTGTGTCATTTTGTGGTCATCTTAGAAGATGTTTATGTGTTTCTGTATGATGTGCTCAGTGTGGATTACATTCTGTAATAAAGCTTGGACTGCTCTGAAGTGTATGGAAAAGTGGAAGAAGTCCTTTTAGATGGCACTAAACTTGAGGATATGCTCCTTGTAAACAAAAACTGCATAGACTGAAGTACGGGTTTTACAGAAGGCAGCTGTGAAGCAGCAGTTTCGCTTGTAAAGTCTCTGTTCCTCGGGCAGCCTCTGGGGCTGGGCTTGCCCAGGTCTATGGTCCACAGGTGTGCTGGCTGCTCCTGTGCTGGTCCTACAGTTACGGGTCTGAAAAATGAAATCCTGCCTCGAAGAGCAACAGTAAAACATCTGTAGGATCTTATCAAAGAAACACGTGATGTTATGTAGAGGATCAAAATGTCAGCCTCACACAGTTCTGGGTAGAATTAGCTGATGAAAGGATTTTCTCAGTCATCTGATGTTTTTGGACTGGAGCTTTGCTGGTCCTTTAAGAATTTATTTCCCCCCCCCCTTTAATTTAAAAATGTATAGTTAAAATACATAGTGACCAGTCTGTACAGTGATAGTGCAGTTTGATAATATAATTTCAGAAGAGTGGTATAATGGAAACTGCAGTTATTTATACAGAAAAAAAATTGTTTTCTTGAAATGCTTCACATTGTCACGAGTTCATGGAATTTTATATAATTGGCATAATCTGGGTATAGTGTTAGTTAAGCTCTGAGTTGTGTCAAACAAAGGGACATGGAAAGTGTTTAGAGGAGGTTTGTTAAGTGGCTGTATTGCTCAGAGAACCTACCAACTACAATACTGACACTGGTAATTTTTCCAGGGGTGGGGCAGGAAGCATTTATGTTTGCTGTTGTAATTACAGCTCCCCCTACAGAGAGCCTGTGCTGTCTTAGCTGCTGTAGTACAAGGTAATTCCATGAAAAGAGACTGCAAAGGAAAGTAAGGAAAATTAGAAAATTGATGTATCATCATTATGCCATTTTAATCAAGCTATAATTATATAAAAGACAGTCAAGATTTCTCCCTTAATTCTAAGGATTGTTGAAAAATAAAAGAAAATGTCTATAAGTCCATTGCAGTATTTTCAAAAAATGACTAATCCCCTGTACTACACAATACAGTATCTTCAGACTTCCCAAAATACTTGGCATCCTTTGAGAGACCCTGTTCAATGAATTTTAGTGAGGTTATACTAATTGCGCAACTCTAAATGGCTTGAAATAGATTTTAGCAAACGTAGTTGAAGCCACAGTTAATATTCTAGCAACTGATTCATGAAACTTGATACAGGCTGCAATTTCAGGAGAAGTGAAGTGGGTATTCAGGCAGTTAACCATGCTGAGCTTTCTCCTTCCACAGTGAGACTTCAAACAGCAACCTGGTAGAGCTGCCATGTACCCGTATGTCTGGGAGGCACAGCAGAGAAGTGAAACATGGGTGTCTGGTGCCTTGACTCCAGTTCTCCTGGAGTCTCCACATTTAATATATCCATACATTCCTCCTTAGCTTTCTCCCAGTGGTCTCCAGTTGTCTTTCTGCAGTGTTGAAAGGAAGTGTAAAACACTTGACTATGAAACTTTAAAGGTGAATTAGAAAGGTGCTGTTCTGGGGGACAGTAGGACAGAGAAGAACAAAGGTGCTTTTCTTTCATGAAGAGTAGAAGGCCAACTTTAACCTAGTGATGTGGTGGATATATGCTGCTCATGAAGCTTCAGGTTATCTTTATGTCCACATTATAACGATTTGTTGCCATTTTCTTTGTGAAGGTGACTGGACCTGATGAACAGGAAGAGAGGCAGTTTGCTACATCAGATGATGTTGTGACTGATCCCATTACATCCAAAGAAGCAGTTCAAAAGAATGTGCCACTGAAGTCCTCTGAGAAACTGCGCATTTATGAACCATCTAATGCCTATGACTTTGGTCAGATTATAAATGCAGTGAATGCCAATAAGGATAAAGCTGCTTGTGCAGATCTTTTAACAATTACTGATCCGAAAAAATTGCCATTGCTTCTGAGTAACAAACTTGAAGGAGAAATCCTTCTGATGTTTATCCAGTCATTGGAACATTATGTAGCTGAAAAAGATCCTGGCCTTGTGTATCAGCACCTTTTCTACTTGAGCAAAGCAGAAAGATTTAAGGTAAGAACCCCTAGATTGAATGTGTACTTAAATTGCACAGAAACCTAAAGGAAATTTTCATAGCTTGAAGGGAAATTATACACTGGTTTTGTATCTCTGTCAGATACTATGATTTTCAGTCAACCTGTGCTAATTTTTAAATAATTGTTGTTTGTTTTTTTTACAGGTGGTGCTGGCCCTTCTTAGCAAAAATGAAAAAGAAGAAGTGCAGCAACTGTTTGACTTACTTTCAGAAAACCAGAGTGATCAGTACTCACTTGAAGATCTTGAGAGCCTTAAAAAGGTTTATGAACTTTAAGAAGTTAAAGTTTATTGGCTGCTTGCAGATAGTTCATGTGTAAAAGATGGATCTGTGAACTCTGCAGACTTGAATGAGTTCAAGTGGGTCTTTACCTGGACTGCTGAAATTTTATTTTGTTTTGACAGCATATGCACATTTAAAACTTGCTGCTCTATTTTTCTTGTAGCTGTATACATCCTTAGAACTTAATGCATGCTGTGTTCAGTAACAGAGTTCATTTTATTTGGCATACGGATTTTATTTAGGATGTATTAATTATATATAGAAAAATATATTTTACATTATTTATATATAATGTGAAATATCTTGATGGTGCAATAGGTAAATATACGTCTAGTCATCAGTTTTTATATCATTTGGTGAGTTCTAAGTTCCTGAGGTAAAGAAGTGTCTTCAAGATAAATGGGTAAGTTAGCAGTAGTTCTGCTAAAATGCGTTTACAAAAAGTATTAACGCTTTTCAGATAAACTACTAAACATCTGTTTCTTCACCATCCCTGGTCTATACAAAACAGATTTAAGTATTTTGGCACAATACAGTTTAGCAGCAAAGGTGAATGAGTAATATATGAGCTTGTCATGGGACTATTTGAAACAAAATTGGTAAACATTGGGTATGTTTTAACAAGTGAATAATTTTTAGTGCACAGAGAATTACTTTTCTGTGTGTGCTGAGGGACTGCTGGTTTGCCTGGCTTTTTTTTTTTTTTTTTTTGCAGTGACATTGGTAAACAGAAGAAAATGTGGCTGCACTTCACAATAGAAATATTTAGCTCTGAGTTTTGTAACTGGGTTACATAAAACATCAACTGTTTCTGTTTTACAGGTATAGTTATAAAACTAAAAGTAAAATAATTTTTTTGATCAGTATGATTTTTTTTTATTTCAGGCAGTACCTATGTTTTTATATTTGATTCTGATAATGCTTCAGAGATGAAGCTTTTAAATTTTTCAAATACCCAATGCCTTCTTTGTGTTATAAATAATGCGTTATAAATGTATATCAGACTCACAAGCACTGCAGAAATACGATTAAGAATGTAGTTCTAATGAACATTTTTCTCAGGTGTGTATTGATAAAGTTTTTTTTCTTGAAAAGGACAATTACTGATTCTCTTTTCTGGTTCAATACTCTTTAGGCTTATAATTTTGAAGTGGATTATGAGGTTTGTCTTGGAGTGCCAAGAACAAAGCTTTTAATTTCTAAAGCACCATCAGAATGGGTTTTGGTTTTAAATGTCCTCTTTTTGTGAGATTCTGTGGTCAAGACAGATCTGTTGCTCATCTAATCTAGTTGAGCAACAACGTGCCAGTTTCATTCTTCAGTCCTGGTGTCGCGTTCACATTCGCTGATTTCTGTGTTACTGATTTCAGTCTTTCAGTTTTGTTTTACCATAGTTTAGTATGTTCAGAGAAGATTCATTGTATGTGTCCAACTGTAGTTCAGAAAAGAGAGCATAAAAATTAGGTGTGTAGTCTTAAAATAGTCTTAATTGCCTGATAACTGTAGCTAAGAGCCCAATGCCAAAAGCTCTCGATGAAGTGAAGTCTTTCTCTGTGCCACCCAACCCTCCAAGTACTAAATGCTCTTGAGAGACAAAGTTCAGCAGTCACAGCTGTTTCTTACAAGGTATCTCATTTGTAAAGAGTTTTTTGACACTGAGGACAAAAATAAAAATGTCTGCAGCAGCAAATCATAATATAATTTAGTAAATATAATTTAGTAAATTTAGGAGACAACCTGACATTATTTAAGAGACAAAGGCTTGAAAAGAGATTCTTACATGGAGGGTTCTTGACGAATCATTTGTCCGTGAAGAAAGAGACAAATAGGTGTTCACAGACAGGCATACAGGATCCTAGTTAATTTTAAGACAGTTTTAATCAATCCCTAGTGATTAAACTAGAAACCTAAGAGTTGTCCACAGAAAAGCAGTCCAGTAGTCCAGAAAGATACCTCTTCTTTTAATACCTTTCACCTTGAGTATCAGCTGAAACAGCGTGAATTCAGTTTGAGGTAAAAATGACGGACTGCAGATCAAGAACCTCAAACTACCTCTTGCTAAGAAGTTCTAAACTGAGAGCTGCAGCAATGACTGCAGGTGAACCCATTACCTGGCTGGTGGGAGGGAGCTGTCACCACCTGCAGACAGAGCTCTGTACCCTCCTCCAGATTAAATAACAAGCACCCCCTGATTTGACAAATGAGGGCTTGGCTGTGCAGTCACCCACCTTCTGAAGCAAAGAGCTGATCCTGAGGATGTCTCATCTTCAGCAGACTCGTATGAGGGCAGGATTTGCTGGAAGGTTTATACTGAGCCCTGAGGAAATAGCCAGCAATAAATGGGTTTCCACTTTGTGTGTGTCTGACCTTGTCAGGTTAAGGCAGAGCAGAAGGTGTGGCTGATTGAGTGTACAGACAACCCCCCAGATTATCCCAAATGCTGTTTGGTAGGTAGCCCCTCAAGTCTAGCTTGACACTGGTCTCAGTATTTCCCATATGTTCCCAGCCCTGGCCACATACCAGGAGCTGCTTTTTAATGTTTATTTATGTCATTCCAGTCCACAATCCCAAAAGGAGAAGACACTTCCTTGATGACCTGCATTCCTGAAACTGCTGCCAGGCTGGGCTTGTGATCTCAGCAGATTCTTGGCATCAGCCCCACTCTGGGAGATGTCCCGATGTCCTCCAGCACGTTGTTGGGTGGTGCCATTGGGCACTAATGGATGCAGGAATGGTGAACACCCTGCACTGTGGGTAGCAGACCCCTGGAGTTTCAGGCACTAATGCTTTGCTAGATCTCTTCTTTAAACATCAGGTCAACCTGCATTATCTGCTACTCTCTTCTGACTGATGTTCTCTCATACCTCATTCTCAAGTAGGACCTTTTGGCCTCAGCTTCCACAGTTAAAGAATTATATATTGAAGTACAAGGGAGCAAAAAAGAAACTGAACCACTGAATGTTTTAATGGCTGAAAAATGAAGTCAAATAGTCAGATATATATTTCCATAAAAAAAAGAAGTTAGCAGCTCTCAAAGGTAAGAAGAATGGTCCATGAAGCTGAACAATAAAAATGAAGAAATTTGACGTGAGCTGTTCATCTGTAAGGCCAGCAGTGGATTTGCAGTGCCTGCAGTCATTTTGGTGATGGCCCTGCCTCATTCAGATTTCATTGAGAGTGACTGCTTTTTCAGGCAGCATTTGGGAGGGCCTGAGGGACAGGCAGAACAACTTGTAAAACCCCAGAACTTAGAAAACAAATAGAATAAAACATGTTAGGGACTGTACTGCTGATTTGACATGAACAGCTCAAGCCAAAGCCATCAGGCTTCAAAACCTGCAGCATTAGATTACTGAAAGTAATTTTATAGGCATGGGGTGCAGAAGGGAGTATCTTCAGGTGTGGATTTCCTAAAACCACTTGTTTGGTAGGTAAGGGCTGCCTAAATATGTCCCTCTTGCCTTAGTCTGGGGAACAGCCTCAGGGCCAGGGGGAGAAATCTTTGCAGCCCTAAGTAGTTGCAGCTGAACAGCAGATGCAGAGTCACCTGTCAAAGACAATGTCCATGGCCAGGTGACACGGAGTGGCCTCTGCACAGAGGTGGCAGCAGCACCCCCGGTGTGGCACTGGGGATGAGCAGCTGCTGACAAAAAAGTTCCCTGCTCACCATGGCACTGACTGCGGCCTCGGTGTGAACACAGGGCCCAGAAACAACAGAGAGGAAAAAAACCCAACCTGTTTTATTGGTATTGGGTTTTTACATTCTTTAGAGATTAAAGCCTTTTCTCTTTAGAAAAGGGCAAGAGAACCTCAAAGGGCTGACGTGGCTTTGTGGGGGGGAGACCCAAACTGTAGCACAGTCTTACGCCCTCAGGCTTGCCACTGACCCCCTCAGCATTAACATCCACCTTTGTAAAACCAAACCAAACCAAACCCAACAGCCGTACAAAAACAAGAGGAGACCACTGGTTATGCAGGTCAGGGACAGGTAAGTGAAGTGTGGCAATGAGCTGATTTTGGCCACACAGAGCACATGCCCTGTCCAGCCAAGCTAACCAGGCCTGCAGTGCCCCACCTGCTCATGGATACCCATCCCTGTTTTTAATGCAAGAGAGAGCACAGAAAATGTGGTCAGTGGCTAGGGCCTAGCGCATGCTGGGAAACAGGTGGTCACACTGTTGTTCTTTTGGTCCTTTCAAAATATGTTTGACATTTTTAGAGAAGCCAGCTCCAGGTTGAACAGGTGCAGTCACCCAAAAGGGAGAGTTGCTACCGGGGCTGAGTGTCATCATGGCACGGTTGCTTCCCTGGCCAAAAAGCTGGTGTACTGCAGGCCTCTCACCACCCCTCTTTTCACTCTCTGTACGGTGGTGCAGGCAGGAGAAGCTGGTGAGAGGCCAGTTACTGGCAAACCCCACTTCTTGCCCATATGTGTGATGGTTTTCCCACTCATCAGAATCTGCTCTGCTTTATATAATCCAGTTGCATAAGTGAAGGGCTACTCCTGTGGTTGCCAGGCCTTTCGGAAGACTTAAACTTGTTCATTACAATAAACAAAATATATTTTTTGGACAGCAGGGAACAAGGCTCCTTCCCCAGTTGTAAATCAAGATTTATGACCTGAATCAGGGTAACTGCTCGCTGCCTGTGAGCTGCAGCCACCCAGGGGACAAAGGGCAGGCAGCTCAGAGCAGGGAATCACCCCAGCTGGCTGGCTAAAAGAGGATTAAATGCCACCTCTCTGTGAGTCTTCTCACTCCCTGGGTCCCTGCCTGGGACCTCCCCCGTGGGATGTAACACATTCAGTGGAGATGCAGCCTCCAGCTGTGGCAGGGCAGGGCACTGGTGTCAGTGCCACTTCCTCGCAGCCCCGTGCCATTTCTCAGTTGCTACTTGCTAAATGCAACCCTCGTAAATAAAGTCATCAACATGAGAGTAGATTTGCTTGTATGTGAGAGGGATGATAAGGGGATAGAGTGGCCATCGCACAGAATGGTGTGCTCAGAAATGTCTTGAGCAGGCAGCCAGCAAGGAAAGGGCAGCTCAAGCACCCTAAACCCCATCAGTACCGGTCTAGTGCCTAAACATAACAGCTCAAATTTAGGCCATTTGGAATTTAATGTCCTTACTGTGGAGATGGTAAGCAATAATAGTCCTTTTGTTTAGCCGGCTCACCAGGACCTTGAGCGAGGAGAGATGTGTCAGCTTTGCCCACCAAAATGCTTCCTACTGGTACCTGATGTGCAGGCAGGTGCCAAGGTTGTCACATGTCACAGCTGCTGAGTTACCTGGCCTGGCACACGAGCAAGGTGCAACAGCAGGTTCATGTTTGTTAAGTTTCCAGCTGCTGCAAGGAGCCTGGATTTTCTGCCAGATGGATTCCTGTTCCCTCTCCTGCCTGATCCAAGGCCAAAACATTTCAAGGGAATGATGAGCAGTTTGATCACATTTTAGGCATCATCCCAGAGGCTGGCAAGGCTTACCCAGCTGTGCTTGCAGGCACTTTACTTCCTTCACCTGCCCCACGAAGATGTTAAATGAACAGCCTGGAGCCGGCGACAGGGCCAGGAGTGCTACGGCAGGAGCTTCACACACAGGCCTGCTGGTGTCCCTTGGTGCACTCCCTCTTGGACACTTGGCTGTGCAGGACACAGCTTAGGACGGTGCAGAGCCGAGACCCGCAGCACATCCCTGTCCACAGCCACCTTCAGCAGCAGCAGGGCCTCGATCGCCCAGGAGGACCAGAAGCCAAACTTCAGGATTAGAAAGAGACACAAAGGGAATAAACAAGCCAGATTTAGCAGAGAGGGGCCCACAGCAGGCAAGGCCTGCAGCCCTGGAGACGGAGGGTAGGGAGCAGCACAGACATCTGAGGAGGGAGCACAGCTGGGCACAGTCACCAACAAGCATCTGTCCCTGTGCTTGTGGCTGCAGCCCAAGGCCTCCAGGCAGCAGCCTCCCAAGCCAGGGAAGCTATCACAAAATCCTAAACTCCTTCTGAAAAGTTGTCACAATCTTTTTACAGAGAAACAAATAATAAAGGACAGAGAAATATAATTTATACGTGTATATGAATAATATAAACATAAAATCTGTCTCCTCAGAAAAAAACCACCTTTTTGTGTTTGTTTGTTTTTTGTTCGTTTTTTTGGATTTTGTTTGTTTGGTTTGGCTTTTGGGGTTTGTTTGTTTTGTTGTGTTTGTGGGTTTTGGGGGGTTTTTTTGTTTGTTTGTTTGGTGTTTTTTTTGTTTTTTTTTTTACAGTGAGTTCCCTGACAGCAGAGTTGGGTCTTGACTCTAAGATTTTGAACAACCTCAGGGACAACTCTTGCTTCCCCTAGTTCTTAACAGCACTTTAAAATACCTATGTTTCATTCTAATTAAGTATATGAGACAGACTGCTACGCTACTCTATTTCTGCAGTAACTTTGAATTTGACAGTGACAAGGAGGAGATCTAGAAGCAGCTCATCCAAGCAGCTCCTTCAGCACAGCCCAAGCAACGGGATGCACCACACAATCCAGTCCCTCCACCAAAGGACCCTTTATAAAAAGCAGCACAGCCCAAGGAAATGCCGCTGTGCACTGAATTCCAGCTCAAGTGAAAAAGCAACCAATGGGTCTGGCCAGGACTTGTCGCAGCACTTTTTCCAATTACATCTTCTCAAGATGGTTTCATGCCCTCATAGATGCTATTCCACCTTCTCAACAGTTTCTTTCAGCGGCATTCAAAATGTACATGAAAACTTTATATCTCCTTAGAAA